TCTTGACAAATAATTTATTTATATGGACATTCTCATATTCTTCAGAACTCGTGGATATTTCGTTTTAAAAGGTCAAGAAAGATTATTCTCCGTATTCAAAATAACAATAATAAAGACCTAAGATCTGTCATTTAGCTAAACGATTCAAACAATACCATGAAGCCAGATACCATGTTGGTCTCGATGTTCGTAGATACAAAAGCCAATAATCATTCTCCTTATTTGAATTTAACAAAAAAAAAAGAAAAAAAAAGAGCTGAATAGTCGAGGATAGAAATGAGTTGTCGTTTAGACACTGATAGACAGTTATAAAGAAATAAAGATGGCGACAAGAAATCAACAGAGGGTTATCTGAACTTTGGATAGCCCTAAATGCTAGGATTGGTCGATTTTAATCATTTTGGACCATAATATTGTGCATTTTGGTAAGACTATTTCATTATATAAACTCCTGAGGGTTTTGTCATCGTTTATTCTGGAATATTGTATTTGTATATCTTTGGTACCACGTATCAAATTATCTCGCGGAATCTCCAGTGCTTAATACGAACCGATCCCAGACAATGATATAAAAGCGTATTGCCATAGTAACCAAGCATGTCTTACATTCTGTACTGGTAAATTAAATTAACTGATTATCGTTTAATGAGTACGTTTACTAACCTATCCATTTGAAGATCATTCGGCAGAAGAAAACAACCTGGATTACATATAAATATGCATGAAATAAATTGCGATTTAACGTCCTACTTTTCTGCACTAACCGGGGTAATGAAGACGATCATACGTCATGCACTGTGCTGTGGATGGGGCAAAAAATTGGGACATTAAACTCTTTAATTTTCATTTCATTTGTACTTTTGCGTGGGAAAAACCTTTCACGATTTCATGGGATTTTATAACTTCGGACGAACAACTTTTCTTGACTCCCAACTGTATTAAATCAAATATGCAAGAGATCCGCGGTGGCTCAGGGGGCATGGCGTTGGTTCAATATATCGGACTCGATCTCGGCGTTATCGAAAATGTTCTAAGTGCTGTTTCAGTCTGGTCTTTCATTGTTAGTGGTGCAGAACCGACGAGTCTGACAAGCAAAGCACCGAGTCGTACGGATGAAACGAAAAATCGAGGGGCAACCTGTATACCCCTTAAACTCTAAAGAAGCATTTTGATTTCTTTGAAACGCCGCTGTCCGGGTAAAATGTAACTGCTTGCCGTACACCAATCTTTATTATCCCAGTTGATGCATGTCTAATCTGCAAAGACTACATGGCCAAGCCCTTAAACGACCTTGGATGAATCCACAAAAACGTTTGATGTTACGACAGGTGATGTGTATTTTATAGACATGCGTATATATCGTAGATCAGATTACATTATTACCCGACAGTTATTGTTTACACTATACACAAGTCATTTACTTTAATACCCTTTTTTAAACTGAAATGAAATGGCAGTTAACGTTTTACTTGTCAATACCGACCGAGCTAATAAAGACAGACATGTGCCATGCCGTGTTGGAAGGGGACATTTTGCCCTGACAGCGGCACTGTGACTACGAGCTACTCTTATTTCGATTTACAATTGTCCTAGAAGCATTGGTTAGTGAGTGAGATAACGCCATAAACACATTTTAAGACAACAAAATGAACCCCCTGGTCTGCGTTACCTTTTCTAGACTGGCCACGATTCGTTTGTAATATTATCTCATGCCGTAAAGCTCGCTTTTGATGGTGAAACGTTCCCGTAATCGCCAAGTTTACGGGTTTGTGGGAGGTGGTTTTTTTTTTGGAGGCTTATTTTGAAATCTGATTTCTTGAAATTAAGTCTTGAGTCTATTAGATTTGACAGGAGCCTTAATTTGCGAGGAGATGATTTTATTCAGTCGTCTTGTTCGAATGACGATAACGCGTACAGTTCTCAAGAATAGTTAGAGACAATAATTGTTTCAAGAGGTCTCCTGTTTGCATATACACTCGTTGTTCCAGGACTTATATACGTACACGAGGATGGCGTGCTAAGACCAATTATTAGTAACATAGTTCCTTCATAACATGACAAATACAGGCCGTCTGCAGTTGAAGATGATCCAATAGAAAGATTGATCTCCCTTGAAGTTGGTTCTCCACAACCAGAGGTTTATATAAGGGAGAGAGAGAGAAATGGGGTTTAACGTCCACTCGACACAAACTAGGTCATTTCGGGACTAACATATCGTTTAATTTTATTTCAATAATTCGCTTGCGCGTAGGGGTCTTTAGCAGTGGGAGGAAACCGGAGGACCCGGAGAAAACCCACGAGGTTGGACAGGCGACCCTAATCCTTGCCACGTACAACCGGGGATTCGAAACCACGCCAGTCGACTCAATGACAGACTTTATGATACAGCGCGCGCACGCTAACCATTTAGCCATCCAACCCCCCTTTATATAAGGGATATTCGATTGAACCTTTGGGAATTGAACTCTCTCAATCCCCAAACTAGTGACACTCGAGTGAAAAGGCATGTTTCGATTATACTCTCTCCGGGGGGGGGGGGGGCGAATGGTTAGCACGCGCGCGCTGTATCATACAGTCTGTCATTTAGTCAACTGGCGGGGTTTTGATTCCCCGGTTGTGCGTGACAAGACAGAGAGAGCTGAGAGAGAGAGAGAGAGAGAGAGAGAGAGATATATATATATAGAAGGTCGCAATGTCACTGTCCAGTCTTCATTTCATGTCATTAACCTGATTTAATTAATAACTGTAAACTAGCGTACATTTCACCGTTATATTAATTGAAAATGTTATCGCCCATTATATTATGAAAACCAATAATTGTCTTGACGGACTGAGAACTTAACCATGTCGTGTCCACTGAACTACGGGAGACAACTCTATTTAAACCGTTATGATTAGGGGGAAACTATCAACTTTAGAAATCAGACAAACTAATATTTTGAAATTTCCAATTGACCATAACTATTACCTTATCAAATGTTGCATAAGAAATTTTAACTAGTAAAAAATGACAAGGAATGGCAAGCTGTCAGTACAAACAGTTTTCAATTTGAGCCCCCCTCCCCCGCCACGGCAATAAAATAATTCGCCTTTAAATGTATACAGACGCTATTATGGAAGCCAATTACTTTAAGAAGTGAGTTTTAAAACGTTTTCGGATACAGCAAGTTGTTAATGGCTATAATAAATTGTCTACATTGGCGTGCACGGGATTCCCTATAATGATATAAGAGTAGGCCATAGTGCCGCTGTCCGGGCAAAATGTCCCTTACAGCACACTGCATGGCGTATGTCCGTCTTCATTAGCCTAGTCGGAGCAGAACAGTAGGACGTTAAACTCCATTTCATTTCTAATATAAACAAATAGAACTAAAAATACAGATGACATCATTATATACGAGGTAAGTTTATGCCAGTCGGAATGATTTACTGGCATTAATCATACTAACTGCTAAAAGTAAAAATTAACTTAGAAATTATCACAGTTCAAGCTCCATTATATAAAACACTTTAAATTGATGTCTGTGTTTACAACTCGATAACGTCACTAAATGTAAACAAAGGCTTTTTTTTAAGCTAACTAATTTCAAAAGTGGAAGGTTTTCGGATACGGTAAGTGGTTTTCACTATTCAAAGATTGGCCATACAGGCTTGTTAACAATATTTCTACTTTAAACCAATAATACCAAAACACAAATTGGTTAAAAAGCTAATGTTGTTAATTATTGGTGTTCAAGAGCGTTAGTGAAAATATAGTTTAGGTCTGATAATAAAACGGAGCCAACAATAAAAATAATATAAAAGATCAGTCCAACAAGTCTATACTGATAAATGATCCAGATTTAACTACATACTATGCTGACAGACTGCACCACAATTAATGCAGGATGCTATGGCAATTTCATGAAAAGGGGAGGGGGTAGGCCTATATTTTGGCATGGATCGTTTGCCATTAAGATCTTGTTTTAGTTACAGTATATTATTGTACCAAAACCAATAGCACTCAAATTGTGGAAAATCTGGAAATTTTACTCAAAACAAGCCAAACAATAGAAATATTCGTTCGTGGATTCTATACGTGAAATACTGCTAGGTTAATAATACAATTCGTAGATCGAAATCAAAACAATCTATTAAATTATTGATTATAAGAGACGAATGAAAATGTTATGGTAAGTCATAAATTATTGTTGGTAGGAATAAAATTAATTTATTGTCAGTAACAATAATTGGTTTGATTTTGGTGCGCATCGGACCTTCCGTTCAGGAGGTGTCCCCATTTTCCGAAAACACTGCGAATTCGGCACAGGCTATAGTTTTTAACAGATATTTTTCGAATTTGGTTATGCCCCTTTAGCCGAAAAACCGATCGAAATTAAGCGTTGTGCAACCTCCCTTAGCCGAAAACCTCGTAAACGCGATGTTAACAGATTTTTTTTCAATTTCGATGTGAAGTATTAGGACATTGAGATGGGCCCTTTCGATTTAGCATGCTCTTCGTCCATCAGCGTTCCATGACCTCCCATGCCGGAGTTATTCCCCCCTTTCCGAACATTTTGTGAACGTAGAGGTTTGCAGTTTTTAACGGATGGTTTCAAATTCGATATCAGGAATTGAGATAATGAGAGGAAGACCCCTATCGATTTTCACTGTTATCCACGCTTGTTTATTACTATCAACAATACGTATATTTGCTTCAACTTTTCCCGTAGCTTTATCTGTAATAAGATCAATTTTGTCTATATCACCATAAGGAGCCAATGTATCATGGATACTTATTATAAAATATGAGATAGAGCTCGTTAAATACATCCCAAATATAATGTATTTAACCAGTTCTATCACATATGTAATAATGACTGACACCAATATTGTCCTTTAAATTGAACTTCGCGGTGATTTGGGTTTAACAGATCACGTGACACAGCCGGCCAACCAGAGCATGAAAAAAGTTCAATAGGTCGCGTGGTGTGAAAGGTCACCGCTCTGTTTACGTTTTGATATGGCGGAAACTGTTGTTCCTTGCCTTCTTCATGAAGATTCTGTGAAAGAAAGTGAGGTCAGACAGTTCACTTTGACAAGCTGGGCAAAATTTAAGGTATGTGCTAACCAGTGGATCAAATTAGATGGAAATGGCAGGCTTTTGGCTGAGAGAAATGCTGATTTGCTGGAGAAAGAACTTCAGGAATGTACAGACAGGACACTGGGATATCATCTTCCATGTTACCAACGTTTTACTAACAAAGTAAGAATTAAAGGAGCCGAAAAACGGTGTATGAAACATGCTGCCGATTCCAAAATTGTTGAAGGAAGTCCTGGCATGAAACAAGCAGCTACAATTTCCCCCGCTAAAAAAAGAAAATTTCACCCGCATAATGGAACGTTAACAACTTCGACAGCCAGTGAGGGAAAATCCATTTTACCCCAAGTTTGCATTATTTGCAAAAAAGTAACATCGTTTGTATATGGCTTTGGCAGAAAAAGAGTACGAGATAAATTGGTACAAGCACAAACAACTACAGCTGGTAAGTAACTTCCATTTTCAATTGTTCATGCCAACCGCAACCGGTTCACCGATTTATTCACCTTTAATAAATAAATGTCTATTAGTATTAAAATTAAAATATTTATTGGACCACAGGAAGACTTTGATACATGTTTAGATTATTAGAATTATAGCTTTTAACTCTCATGCTTGGCAGCGAGTGCTCATAACGTATATTTAGGCGCAGATTGCAATCTCAATCTGGTGAATACCAAGTAAGATTAGGCGGCTTATCTACTACTACTACTACCTGGTAGATTATCATCGCAGTAATCCATTAAATAGCACGGACAAAGTTCAATTCGCATGCGCAGATTACTCATCGGATATTAGACAGAGTTTCGCGCCTGCGCGGGGGTAATTTGTCCGAGGAGGGTAATCTGCGCTCAACATATACATACATAATTTAAAGGTGTTATAACTTCCCATGATATATTACAGTGACCTGTGCTATATAAAGTATTTGTGTGGTCTTTAGTGAAATAAGACAATGTTGTGGCTAACATTCTGGGTTTGAAGGCAGATACGATATGAAAACGAATATCGCTTGGTAATTTTTTTAACTGGTTCATCATGCAGTGCAACCGAACCGTGACCGGTTGATTTGTAGATGTTTACATCCTTACCCACGACTCTGCACGAACAATAGTTCGGACTCAGACTTGAAAAAGGTTATATAGACTCCATAATAACGCAGTTTCGGACAAAAATAGGTGTGGTTATTTGTTCATTTTCTTGTAAACTGCAAATAAAATGTTATCTTTCTGTACTTTTTTAGGAAATTTACTTGAAGCTGCTATCCAGAAGGCAGATCAGGATATTCTCCTACTTATACATGGTAAAGACTGTGTCGACATTGAAGTGAAATATCATGCGCAGTGCTTTAAGAAATATACCAAAAGTGTTGTGGAGAAAAGGAGAACAGAAATAGATGGGTTGGTACAAGAATGCTTTATGCTTACTTTATTGAAAAACCATGAATTGTTTATACACTATTAAAATCTTTTGTAAGCAGGACCGGATTAAGCTTAAAGGAAGCAAGTCTCCAACTTAATATCATCCATAGTCTTTGACATTGATTGCGAACACGACTTATTGGTCAATTTAAATCAACGTGGATGTTGTTATCTTAGCCATGTAAAACTGATACCTTGTTTCTTCTCCCCATGCTATGGGTAAAGCTAAGAGAGTGTGCAGTAAATACTACACAAACTGTAATTTTCAACACAAACTTTAGCAAGGCCTTTATACACGATGAATTTGGTATGCTTTCTCATTCATATGGTATTAGAGTTTTTTTTCATGCAAACAGTTACAAATTATAAAAGACTTAATAAAGTAAAACACATCTGAATTTATATCTTTAATTATTACTTTAATAAATTTGATGCAATTTGGGTGATATTTTGATCTTCCATCCGATTTTCCTGCTAAAAATTTATGGCAAAGACTGCCTTATCACACCATTGAATATTTTCTAGCTTTTGTGACCATTACACATATAAGCTCATGATTCGTAGTGTGCAGCTGAGTTGCATTACGAAGACATAATTTCAATTATATTTCCAGGTTTAATTCAACACTTCTCATTTGGTTACTTTCAGTTCCGAAAAAGCGGCAATGGTGCTAGACCCAGCACACAAAGAAGTTTATGGTAGTTTTAGTAAAGAAATTATAACAGAGAGACTAATTAATAACAAGGAAATTCTATGCATGACTAGACTAACAATTATATTAAATGATATGCTGGAGAAGAAAGGTGTTCACTTTACATACAGGTGTGTTTTTATTTCCTTTTCATAAAATGCAAATGTGTGTATCGTATTATTTCCTTTCTTTCCACTGCATGCCCGGTCACGTTTATCAGTGGTGAGCCACAGTGGCTCAGTGAGTAAGACGTTGGCTCGCTATCCTGAAAGTCCCTTGTTCAATACCTGCATTGGCTGAGAAAGTTCATCAAGGTTTTTTGTGTGGCTCCCCCTTCTCAATGGTGCATGATGAATGGTCTGGCAAGGGACAACCCAGGTGCATGTGTTAACAATTGTCTCATTTGTTACTTCCCAAGGAACAAAATGGACTTTAGTTAACTTTGAGTGTGCAAATTGTTGATAATAATTATCTTGTTGTGCTGAAAGTATGATTTTCTATTTCAGGAATGATCAGCTGAAACATTTGCTCAAGAAAGACTTTCCACAACTTAATTTCCATGCTCCAAACCAAATGAATATGAGTAAAATTGTTTATGTAGAGATGTTAACAGCAGGGGATTTCCGTCAAAACTATTCATCCTCATCAGTAACCGAGGATGGTTCCAGTACAGGGAGTGAGAGTGCAACTTTTCTAGCTTTTGGTGAAAATCCAGTGAAAACACTGTATAATGCCGGACTACAAGTGAAATGTACATTGAATGACTCTGCAGGTCTTACATGTCCATGGCTACCCACATCTGTTGATCTTACAACCGATGCAGTAAGATCAGTGGTGCCAGAAGTCCTGTTTAATTTCTTAGCCTGGAGTGTTGGAGCATCTGAGGATCCTGTGCTAGACAAATTTGTTGCTGTTTCAGATGATGTTCTTCCGAGGTTGTTGTCAATTTGTCAGGATTTGGTTTCATTAGCATCAAATGGTCAAAAATTGACTCTCAAGTCATAATGTCTTGGTTTAACTATTTGCCATCTGACTGGTTCCTCACAGCCCTTAACTCTGCTAAATAAATTAGAACATTGTCATCAAGATCAACAATTGTGACATATAAAACAGGTTTAGCTCAGTTACAACTTACCTGCATGAAAGAGGTGCCTCCTGGATTCGCAAAGAAGGTACCCGCTATACTTGTTAAAGATAACATTGATTTTGGAAAGGAGACAATTTCAGGGGAGGGACCGACCCACCACACAAATAGTGCAGAATAAGAAGTCTATGATGAGAATTATTTTGAAGAAGAAGATATTGTTGGTGCCCTTTACATAGATTTGGCTTTTGTTTTAATGAAGTATTCCCAGCTTGAGTCTTTGCTAGTTCCTGGTTGGACAGGTTTCAATGTACTACGATTCTCATAAGAAGCTTAGAGATTGCTGATAGATTAGAGTTAATCATATTGTGTTAGTTTTTGGCCAAGGCACAGCGAATTAGATGGAAAAGTGATATGATGATGAAGAGATTTATGGTTATTTAGCAAGTTCCACACTTCCATGTCTTTTTATGATATGTTGGACATTTTGGTTTAATCAGAGGTGGTTGCCCAAGCTTCCATAAATGGAGTTTTGTCTGGTCATCACTGCAACATTAGAACTCAAAAATAATTGTTTGAGGCCATGCAACGTCTTCGTCTCCAAACCTTTGTTTACATCATCACCCCATATTTAAAATTTACAACAATCATTATCATACAGGTCAGCATCATTCTTCAAGCTAATACATTCCAAAAAACTTGAATCTTTGAAAGAATTGTACAATGAATGTTTTACATTTGCATTTTGGAGTTTATAAATTCATATGATACAGTCCTTACTGCTGTTTATAGAGAATCTAACTGAAACATCCACTTCTATCAGGTCCTTGATAGGTATTACAGTATACTTCACATAAGTTGGATCTAAGTGGACTGACCCATTTTATCTGAGTTTGCCGAAGACCAAAATTCAATCTTAGCTCAATTAGAAATAGACTGCAAGAGCCGTACAATAATTTATTCAAAGGCACATTTCAAGATTTTGTTTGTATGTGTGAGTAGATAACTTCCGTTTTGTCGCCATCTTTGAAAAATGTCCTAAATTTTCCCTGTCTTGTACAGCAGACAGCGAGTTTCGAATTTTCCGGGAATATTCTATTATTGCATCGCATCAAATAGGCTGATTTGAGTCAAAATGATAGGGGAAAGTATTTTGGGGCTCTGTGCATGGAATACCTAACTGTGTTTTAGACTTCGGGAAATTCTGAACATTGTGCCGATCCGACTTAGGCGAAGGAAAAAAGGCGGAATTAAATCAAATGGACTGAACATTTTGATCCGAGTTGAGCAAGATCCAACTTACGCTCCAACCTATTGGATGGAAATGATGCAATTAGAGGAAACACACTCCGGTTTTGACACTGCAGTTATTGAAAATGGTCACTTCAGAGACAGGACAGTTAGACATTTTCGTCCATAGCATTTGACCAGGCTATTGAGCAAACACATAGGGGAGCACTACAAAATGGACGCTCCTCAGTTTTTATCTTATTTTGATGAAACTTTTTAGCTTGTTCTCTGTCCATCTCTTGCAAAATGGGCATATTTGCATGAGGAAATTTATATACACGTACATACATGTAATAATTTCTTTTATACACATTTAATCTCTCTTACAATATGTATCATTTTAAAAAAAAGAAAGGTATAATTGATGCATGTTCAGGTGGATGTAAGGTGAATCATTAATATTCATATAAGATGGTATAATTATTTTTGTCTATAAACATTACATATAATTATAATACCAAACAAGTGTCTTTCAATTGTGCCAAAAACATTTTGGAAATAAACTCACCAAAATAGGTCATTTTTGCAATTTTTCTTTTGACAATGGCATTATGTCACAGCAATAACAAATCGGGGCTTAGCCATGTTCACTGTCTCAACACAACATTAATCTGATGTTATTGACCCATCAACATCCATCATCACAGCATATTTGCAGAGAAGTTCTGACAAATGTAATAAACAAGATAGGTTGCCAGGCAACAAAACATACGCCCACAGCAGCTAAATCATCCGGGCAGTCAACAAGAGTTGTCGCATATTTTTACTTTTTTCGGTAATGAAACATTTATAATACACTAAAATCTAATACAGAAAACCATTAGAATTTGTTTGGTTTTTATAAAGTTCTGCCCCATGCTAACGGTTTGTATACAAAACTTTTAATACTGTATCATGGATTTAGCTGTTCCAAGTCATAAAAATTCATTGAAAATCAATACACTTGTTCGTCTCAAGGTCTTAAACACTGTGTATAAATTTAAAGTCAATCGGATATTAACTTTCTCCTCTAGAGCATCCACAAGATTTTTTGAAGTGATCAAGGGCCATAACTCTGGCAGTAATTATCGGAAATCGCTGAAAATCAATAGGCTTCTTCGTCTCATGACCTTAAACACTGTGTATAAATTTAAAGTCAATCAGATATTAACTTTAGCCTCTAGGCGACGACAATATACGACCACATTTCAATGTGGGCGTATAAAAATGCATTTCCTGGTCTATTTATGGCTATTGACCCTATCATATTATTTGCTCTTAAAGTTTCTGATATTTTTCACCCCGTTTGAGGCATAATTTGAGTGCTTTCATGATTGTACAGTGCATCATAGGAGAAATTTTTACTTCTGCAACAGCGCACAATTTTTGCCTGCAATTTCCTAGGATAAAATGAAACGATTTTCAGGGCCAAGTTACAGCCTATTTGAAATGGGTTTAGCATCAAACTTTTCAGACTGGGATAATGAAGTTGGGTTGTCCCCTTGAGTCCGCACAAGTAAGGAGGATATAACCAAATGAGTGTGGTTAAAGTATTTATTAACCCATAGTATATATATATATTAACAAGTGATGATATAGGTATCAATTATACAATAGCTGGCAGTGAAGAGCTGATGATTACACTGATTATAGTACAATACAATCACATAATGATTACATAAAATATCTTACAAATATACATAAAATAGCACATCTTTACATCTAATAAATGCAATGTTAAATAAATTGTTGGAGTGCTTGGTCTTTAAGATATCAAATATACATTAATTGGACAATACTTTTTCAACTTGTGATAAATGCATTAAGTGAAACAAATTGTTAGGAGTGCCTGAATATACATCTATTTAACAGTATGGTTTTTATTAATTTATGGATACTGCAATCAACCAAATACTCAATACAGAACCCTTGTTTCTTATACAAGTAATAATAATTAAATAAATACATAAACAGAATTCTGTTTCCTTATTCATGTAATTTCTCAGTTCAGAGTGAAGCAATTTGACAAAAAAATTCAGCATACTCTCTTTTCATTATCTTTTTTTTAAGCTAACATAGCGATAACTCAAACTGTTAGCTCTTTATCTAATCTTACCCTAAATACCCCTTAATAGCACTTAAAAAAAATTCACTAAGGCTGCAAAGAACCACTGACTTTCTGCGTGATGTATATCAAACTCAATGATCCTGATAAATAGTCAGTCATTATATCATGGTCCCAGTCTATACATTAAAATCCTGTTCAGTGTTTGTTCAAGTTTTGTCAGTTTTTTCACTCTTGGTAAAGTCTGAATCTAACCGCTGCACATCAAACACTCGTCTTTATTAGCCAATGAACAGGCAATAACAGCCATTTGATCTTCTTCAGTTTTATCTTCTTCGTTGACAGTCTTATCTTGAGTGTTTGTTTTATTAAGTTTAGATTTATCTACAGTAAATTGGATGGCATTGGCAGCTGGCTTTGTTCGTAGATAATACATTCCAGTTTTCAAACCCTAGAAAAGATAGATATAATAAATGTAGGTCAATTTTCAAATAATGACTTCAAGGTATTTCTAAAGCAGTGATAATGAGCCTAATTAACTGATATTCCAAGGCCTTTTCCAATATATCTGCTGATAAAAGGTAAGATTGCCAGCTAATGAAACATATGTCCGCGGTAGCTAAGTTGTCCAAGCAGTACACAAAGTTAGAGCTAAATAAAAAGCAAAATCTTTGCTTTACAATTACAAGATTCTACCACATTATCAAGCAGATCTGATGATAGCTCCTTTTGGAAAAGTCAGAAATTGCAGATTAATTCATTCAAACATTTTTTTTAATTGCAAAATTCTACTTGAATGTAGTTTTGACAACCAAAGAAGAATTGTGGTAAGAAGTTAAGGACTCCAAAATAGTCTTAGAACAGTTAGAGGTAGAGAGGTATATTCATATTGCAGCTTAAGGGGGATGGACAGGAACAGAGGTTGTTCCGAAATGAACTAATCGGATGATAACGTTTTCCCCCAAGATATTGTGCATGAAAGTCCTTTAAGCTAAACACACGATCACATGACACCACAAATATTCTAAAGATACTTACCAGTTTCCATGTGTAGAAGTGCATGCTGGTTAGTTTACCATAATTGGGTACAGCAATATGAATATTCAACGACTGGCTCTGATCAATATAAGCACCTCGGTCGGCAGCCATTTTTATAACAGTTTTCTGACTTATTTCCCATGTAGTTTTGTATAAGTTCTTCAAATCTTCTGGTATTTCTTCAATATTCTGGAAAACAATTTACGATTATTTTAAATTCAATACCTTTACAAACTTTGGCAAATCTTTTTGCAAAGCAGAAACATAATTTAACAAATGTTTTAAAGAAATGCATGCCTCGTCTCCAGAAATTCTCAAGATTATTTCTTTTACAACTTCAAAGGGTTGAGAGAATTCAATTCTGGAAGATTTAATCACGTATCCATCCCCCATAATAAAATCTAGAATATATTACTTACCTGAATTGATCCACCTTCTGATATAATTCTATTTTTCATAGAATCATCCCACATTCCTAAATCTGTTAAATCTCTCAATAGATGACCATTAACAACCTGAAATATCAAACAAAGCATATTAATCGGATTTTAAATAAGGGTTTGTTTCATAAATCTACTCATCTGTTTTGTGACTACTGGCCAAATTAATTGCCAGCTTCAGGTGGGCTTTCCGTATTAGTCTCTGTTGTCACTTTTTATTGTATAAATCAGTGATTCTCAACCAGTGTGCCACAAGATCTTAAGTGTGTTGCAAAATTTTGAACGACACACTAAGAAAATTTCTCACTAAAGAAGCCAGCTATTTGACTGATGAAATTTGAAACACTGAAATAAAGTATGCCACGTATTGATTCTGCAAAATTAAAATATTTTTCATATATATTTAGCCAGGTGTGCCGCTATTTTTTCATGTGTTCCAAGGTGTGCCATTGGCAAAAAAAGGTTGAGAACCACTATATATAAAATATAAATAATCATGACACTGATAAGTAAGATAAATAACAAACCTGAAATTCTCCAGATAAAACTCGTCTTGTGTATATATTACTAGTATAAGCTTCTATAGCTTCATTATTACCCAGTATCTGAGCTGTTGATGCTGTTGGCATGGGAGCCATTAATAAACTATTTCTAACACCATGTCTACAAATGAAATAAACAGAATTATTCCACAAGAATAATTTAATTCAATCAGAGCCGAGGACTGAAGCCCAGAATAATACTGCTTGAAAATCTGAATTTTTTCTCGGAACACACCAGGATTAGAACCTGCAACATTCTAGTTGAGATTCAAGTACACTTACCGCTGGACTATAGTGACCCATCTCTCTTTGTCCTGGGAACAAGAGTTAGATTTAAAAAGTTTATAGAGAGTTAATGAACTTACTTGGCTATTCTGTCTCTTAATGATTGCCAATCTAATGTACCAGATGGTTTTACTTTCCACATATCAAACTGTAATATCTATAAAACAAACATTTTTTCATAAATATTCAAAAAATTTTCTCATAAATATTTAACTGTTTTCTCATAAATGTTGAACTGTTTTCTCATAAATGTGCAACTATTTTTCTCATAAATATTCAACTAATTTTCATAATATCTCTGTAAGTCATTTAGTGAAAGCGATATAAACAGTTTTATGGATAACATTGCTTGATAACGGTGAGATAATCCTCATTGAAACGTTTCAGTTAATAAACCTAGTCAATGTTATCCATAAAACTGTCTGTTTATTATATTTTTCATAACCAGTAATAATATTCAAATACAAACAGATTATGAAATACAGTTACTGTTTATAACTGAGAAACGTTACGACTTAAGATTCCAGGAAAATAAGGATTCTAGTTAAAGTGTTACTCAGTAATAAACAGTCATTGTACTTCATAAAATTGTGTTCTGTGTATTTCCAATTTAATTACTAGAAGCTGTTCAAACAAATTAAAATAAAACGAGTTTCATTTTGGTAACGCAACAATCGTTTGATTTCAGTTTTACAAAGCTGGCTTACTTGACAGAAACATTCGAGATGAAAGATGTCTAGTTTAATTTTCTTACATCAATAAATGACATTACTGGTACCGTGAAAATCTAACTGTAGTTTAAAAATTTACAATCAGCTCACCCCTTTACTGATAGGACTGCCTTTGTACGTTAAATATGGTCCGTCTTTCTCAGCTAACTCACAGCTAGCATCTAAAGCAGCGTAATATATATTTTCAAATATTAATTTATTCAGTTCTTGGGCTTGTTCGCTTTCAAATGGATATCTCATCAAAATGAAAGCATCGGCTAAACCCTGCACACCAATTCCAATAGGTCTGTGTCGCATGTTTGAATTCTTGGCCTGAAATAAAATAAATTACTTGCATTAAAATCAGATATTCTACGAATCCATTGCTTCAATTTGTAATACTCATTTTCTGGATGGGTCTTTGTTAACTACACTTAAAAACCTTTAGCCTGATTTTTAGCCAAACAAAAATTTTTTTTTTTTTAGTAATTTCAGAAACTTGTTGCCCAATATTATATACCGTATCATTTTCATTAGTAGTCATTATTATAATGTTTGAAAGTTTGCTGTTTAGACATGTGAATAACATAAATCGAAAAACTGTAACTTGGCGGAAGGAAACAAAGGGATGTAACTGTGTTTATAGTTTATAAGTCACGATTTTTTGGGTCGTTTTAATGCATAACCATTGACTAATTTGCGAGTAAGTCTTGTAAGATTAACACTAGAGTGACACTAAAAATAGACACTACAGATCGAAAGAAGTGTTCGACAAGACGATTCAAGTTTAAAATTAGCAGATTTACAATATTACACTCTAAAATTCATTTGCCAAAACTTTCGTCAGTACCACCAATTTGATCACCAACCAAACTTGCCGATTGTCTTGAGGCACATTCAACTTATTCAATAGATACAACAATAACATTTCCTATGTCTTCTTCCATCTTAAGAAATAGAATCCAAAGGTAATGTGTTCATCATTGTGAGTTTATTTTTCAGACAGCATTATGACATACTCCACAATACATCTCTTTAAAAGTTTACTTAATCACTTTATTCTACGATGGCAATTTCAACCCAACAACAATGCTACACTCTACTCTTCTTTCAATATGGACAGACACACTGACAAAGGTAAGACCAGACTGGAAAATGTTGAGGAACTTTCTTGGCCAACACATGGATGAAACCCAGGACCTCCTGTTTAGTCAGCAATAAGAGTTTAATGAACTCACCTCGTCAACAGGGTAATAATTAACCTCTATAATTTTATTCAAGTTTCTGGTAACAACTTTTGTCACTTCTCGTAACTTCTTGAAGTCATATGTTTTATCTGGTTTAACGTACATGTTGAGAGCGATGGATGCCAGGTTACACACTGCTACCTGTTAACAATAACATTAGTCATCAAATAAGATATTGTTTACTAAAAATAAGTCACTTACAGTGCAAAATATAAAGGAGATATGGAGAATTTTGCCAGGGGAGCAGGGAAGAAAAAAAGTTATCTGAAGTGCATATCTACTAACACAACTGGTTACCTATTGGAATTTCCCAATTAAATGATACATGTTATCAGATGTTCCGGGAATAATAGGTCCACTATGCAAATGTTACAGTACCAGTTCATTTTTGTACATGATTTGGTGTTTTTTTAAGTACTGTGTCATGAACCATTAAAATTGCCACATGTCATGACAATGTTCTTGAAGCAACAACTGCAAGAGTTAAAGCGAGATCAAGCCTTCTATTGCAGAGACTAGTAATCATGGTGAAAACTTTAGAACCTTGCCAATCTAGACTATTGTAATAATAGACTTGGGCACGTGGGCACGTCCATAAGGTTTCACAGAAGAAATATGCATTGTGTGATAAGTCATTGATTACCCAGGCGACTTGTAATAACAAGCTTGGAAATACGGCACCTAGAATCTCATGCATAAATTAAGGCTTTGTCGGGCACAATTCACTGGTGCCTGTCTTTTCAACGATGGTTTGAAACTTAACATTTAATACAGAAACTCCTGCTATAACAGCACAACTACATAATACCCATGTTGGTAGTGAATCGTCACCGACATTGTCAGTTATTAGTTACAACTAAAATAATTATTTCCAGATCTGATAAAGAAAACTAATAGCTGTGTTTATTTACCTCGTCAGGTGCGCTGTATTCTACGATCTCTGTACATAAATTACTACATTTAATAGTTCCAAGATTCTGTTGATTTGATTTCCTATTACAATGATCTTTATATAACATGTATGGTGTTCCTGTTTCTGTCTGAGATTCTATTATAGCAAACCATAACTTCTGAGCTGCTACTATCTTCCTTCCTTTACCAGCCTTTTCATAACTATAAAATAATATTCAAATATAATTTTAATTACAAAATAATAATAAAATAGTTTAAAGGAGCTAAGTCGCTAATATTTGGGATCTAGAAATTGACACAAATTGGTCACAATGCATATAATAATGTAATATGAATGTATATAAACTGATTTACATTCAATCGTTTCTATTTTTACTGTAATTTCTGATTAGTTATATTCAGCAAAATATGCCAGAAGTCTCGATCGAATGGTAATCTCTACAAAATAATGTAGTTTTTTTTATTACGAAATAATATTCAAATAGTTTGAATTACAAAATTAAAAGATTCATCCAAATATTTGAGTAATAACATTGATTTCAATTTTTGAGAGTTGATCAATTAAAATGGAAAAATATTGTAAATCAGCATTAAGGCAAAATGGGTTTGATCACAAAATATCGGTATATAGTTCAGACATTCCATTTTCCCCCCACAAACAAAATCAAAATTATACGTACCCTTCGTATAGTTTTTCAAATTCTTCACCCCAGACATTTTCTAAACCGGGACATTCATGCGGACACATCAGAGTCCAGTTTCCATTTTCTTCAACACGTTTCATAAATAAATCAGGAATCCACAAAGCGTAAAATAAATCTCTAGCTCTCTGTTCTTCTTTTCCGGTGTTTTTCTTCAAGTCTAGAAACTCGAAGACGTCTGCGTGCCATGGTTCTAGATAAATGGCAAAAGCTCCAGGTCTCTGAAATTAACATATATTTTATTCAGTCAATTAAAATGACATTTATTTAGTGTCTTGAAATTAACTGAGTGATTCTAGAATCTATCGTCATTCCTAACCAATGTTCCCCTTTAATTTTAATGTGCAAAAATTTTATAAACAATAATATGTAAATTTGATTCCTGTGACCATGGTGTGAGCACAAGAGCTTTGTACAAATGTAAAACTTGAAAGTGTTTTAAGAAAGCAGGAATTGTGACTTTTGGACAAAAAGCATTAATAATATTAATTCCGACAACATAGTCTTAGAAATTAACTTTTTCCCCCCATAACCCTGAACTGATGTTTTCTGATCTTGCCTGCTCCCCACCTCCTGATTTGTTAAATAACGTTACATATTTATTAACTAACGTTTCATATACATATTTACATGTATGTTACATACATATTTATTAACTAATCTTACATACATATTATTTAGCTAAAGTTACATAATATAACTAATTCAAGCGCATAAAATAACTTACCTTATTACCACCTTGATCAACATATCTAGCTGTATTATTAAACACTCGTAACATCGGAATCAAACCATTTGATGTTCCATTTGTCTATTAAAATATAAACAAATTATTTTTAACCTTTATCATTAGTGAAACAAGTTATTAAAGACAATCTTTCTGTGTTGGTTCACATTTTTCAGAAAATATCAAATTTCTATGACTTAATCAATCTATGCTACAAGTAGTTGAACTGATTCCATAATATTGAAAGCAATTAAAATATCAATGGTAGCCAATCTCCAGGCCATTTTGAACATATCTAGTTCTTTTTCATCTGCAGAGATTATGCCGCATGTTGCGAAATCTTAAATTTCACATATCTTTGTTAATACAGAACGTAATTGAACCATTTTAGACCGATATACCTTCAAGAGATTTGACTTTTAAAATATATATTTTGCAGAGGATTAGAAACTTGAAATTATGATCAGACATGATCTATGACATTTTAGTCGTTCATGGACTAACTTTTCTCTGCCATATCCAGTATTATTCCAACTTCTGTTTTTCAAGGAATTGGTTAATTTAAGATATAAAATCTTACCCCAGCAATATAACTTCCAGTAGCTCGGATATTATGAACATTTAAACCAATACCGCCTGCTGATTTAGATATAAGAGCCGTCTGTTTTAATGTATCGTAAATACCCTCTATACTATCAGATGCCATAGTCAACAAAAAACAACTGAAAAAAAAGAATAACAAGACTCAATCATCAAAATCCTGTGCTACGTCAAATTGTAAAAAGTTCCATAAAGATCTAGAACAGCTCTGGGATGGCCATTTCAATTGTCCTCAATGAACTTTGTTCGGGGAGGGATAAATTCACTATTCAATAGAGAAAGAGAGAGAGAAAATGGGTTTAATGTCCACTCGACCCAAACTAGGTGATTTTGGGACTAACACAATAATTTGCTTGCGTGTAGGGGTCTTTAGCAGTGTGAAGAAACTGGAGAAAACCCACAAGGTTGGACAGGTGACCCTACTCCTTGTCACATACAACCGGGGAATCGAGACCATACCAGTTGCACTATTCAACAAAGACATCAGACAGTTTTACGTTCACCTGCATATATTTTGGGTGTTCAAATCAGTTCTTTCTGGATTGTATTAGGTATATCATATAATAACATACCTTGATAATTGTGGTCTTGGTGTTCCAGCATTAAATAATGTAGGTGAAGCATGTGTAAACCATTTCTCCGATAATAAATTATAAGTCTGTTGATATAAAACATTTTATATATGTATCTAATACAGCATATAGTTATTTCAATGGAAATTCATTAATGGAAAACATAAATAGCTTAATAACCATCGCTCTATTCCGACTAAATACAATATTTTTTTTAAAAGCAAAAGCTGAGACCAAAAGTTGTATTTGACTCCAGATGGAGTGATAATTCAGTGTGGTTTTTGAGAGAGAGAAAGAGAGAAATGGGGTTTAACTCGATACATACTAGGTCATTTCTGGACTAACATAATTCTATTTAAATGTTCCAGGCAATCAAAGTAGTTTTGTCAATAAATATATGTACTAAGGGAGTTAACATGTGTTCTGTGCATTCATTTCATCAAGGGCTAGGATCCAGTAGTCCTCCGAATCTATAGACACTCATTGTTTTACTAACCTCAATAGCAGCATCAATATCTTCATGATGTATTCCTACAGCAACTCTCATTAACATATGTTGTGGTCGCTCAGCAACTAAAAACAAACATCCATACATTAACCCATGTTAGCTGTTTTATTTGGCAATAAAAATATTTGGCGAACAAAGTTAATGGGGTACAAAACTCTAGGTTTGACATCCTAGTGTTCTGCTCTGACTGGGCTAATGAAGACGGGCACCGGCATACGCCATACAGTGTGTTATGAGGGAAATTTTGTCTTGAAAAAGGGCCATTACCTACTCCAATATCTTATTACAACCGCCAAAGGACCTTTTACAAAGATGCCATCCAAACGACTATACATTGTCCCTTGCCTGGCCCTCGATACTTAACTACTGTGAAGGGGAAACCACGCCAGAAAATCCTGAAGAATTTTCTGGGTCAACAGGGGGATTGTACACAGGACCTCCAGGTCAGGGAGCAAATGACTTATTCACTTAGCCACTGCGCCTCCCTCTCTAGGTTAGACTTTTCCACATAAATACCTATGGTTTAATAGGATGAATAAAGTCAAGTTTCTGTCCAGGGAAAAAGCAAAGCAATGGAGTCTAAATTATCATAAATATTAGTGATTATGTGTTGAACCTAGATGAGGTCTCCGGGTTTGATCCCGGTTTTGGACAGGAAAGTTTCTTAGGATTTTTTAGTGTTGTTTCTCTGTGTTAGTGGTGTAGGACGGAAGGTGTGGCAAGGAACAGTGCACAGTTGTTTGAACGAGACGAAAAACTGGCATTCAATGAAGAGTAGCTGGAAAGGCGTCTGCCCTGGCAAAATTCCCTCAAAGCATATTGCATGGCATATGTTCGTCTTCATTAGCCTAGTTTGTTCAGAGACTTGATTCAATTTCAGCTTGCATTCACCAGTACAGAAAAAATAGACCAACTTACCCTTTCCACTAATTCTTAACAAATACGATCTCTCCAATGTCTGTAACAAAAACATTTTATTTCCATTACAAAAATTAAAATAAGTTTTTCTTGCACAAAATATTCCCCCTTGCCTTGATAAACATTCTATTTTATAAATTCTGAAAAAATATCCGACCTTGATAAATGCCATGTTCTCACACCAATAAGGGTCTAATCAATGCTGGCAATATTTTTTTCTTTAAGGAAAATGCAATTGTTCATGACCACAACTTCATAAAACTTACTGTAAGCCACAGAGTTTGTCCAGATATAGTCACATTTATTCTTTCTTTATAAACACTGTAGCTAATAGTGATACAGACAAATGTTTGAGGAAAATTAATTTAAAGGATCAGCAGCATGTCTTACCTTAAAACCAAAATAGTTGTAACCAAAATCACGATCATATATAATGGCTGAATTCAATCTCTGAAATAAAATGTCAATTTTTATTTACAGTAGTTTTTATCATGTTTTTTTGAAAGGTTTTAACCAACAGTTACAGGTGATGCTGGCTTGTTTATTTGAACGATTTGACCTTACACTTAGAGGTGATGCTGGCTTGTTTATTTGAAAGATTTGACCTTACACTTAGAGGTGATGCTGGCATGTTTATTTGAAAGGTTTTACCCAACACTTATAGGTGATGCTGGCTTGTTTATTTGAAAGGTTTTACCTAAAACTTATAGGTGATGCTGGCTTATTTATTTGACAGATTTGACCTAACACTTACAGGTGATGCTGGCTTGTTTGTATCATCTACATATGATGAGCGATGTTAAGAAATTTTCAATACATCATAGGCCTATTCATATCTTTCCAAATACTAAATAAACATCTCAAAATCTCTCTTAATGAGAATTAGTAGCTTTAAGCAGTGGATACACTAGCCGAATGATTCAACCCGGATCAAGCATGTTTCATATATTTGGCCGAATAACATTCGCCTAGTGTGTCTGATTCGCCGAAGCAATCGTCCGATTGTAGAATTCATTAGCCAATCACCACTCATATCGAGTAGTCATGTGATTGTTTGATGACATGGTTACTTCCATCATGTGATGTGAAAGGTGATGTAATTGAGTAGTGAATCAGACCAAGGATTTTCCTAGTGTGTCCACGCATTCGGCCGAATCTCATTCAGCGACGATTGATTCTGTCCAATCATTCAGCTAGTCTATTCACCGCTTTAAGAAGACTTTTCTAAATTACAAAATTATCAAATTTCTCTCTCAACTTGGTTAACCAATCAAACCCAATGACAACAGTTAAAAACTTACATCAGCATTTTTCATCATAATATTGTATATATCTTCAGATATCATGGGTGATAATTTTCCTGTTTTAGGATTTACCCAACGATACAAATCATCCATAACCTCTGAAAACATAAAAATATATAAATAACTATATTTCTCTACATAGTAGGAATATCTGTAGCCTGTATAATATGTAAAAAAAAATTAAAATACAATCCAAGAAAAAACATTTTTCAAAGTAGGCCTAATTAAAAATCAAATCTGTTTATGCCATATAAGGATTTTATTAAACAGGTTAGATTTCTGTAATCTAAAATGGAAAATGAAGTATAATGATGTTTAACGTCCTGATGATCTGCACCTACTGAGTTAATGAAGCAGACATACGCCATATAGATGGCTACAAGGAAAATTTAGGGCGGACGACAGCGCTATGGACAATCAACTCTTATTGCGAATTCGTCAAAGAGTTATTTTACATGCACGTCGGTTTTTCACACCAATAGAACGATTAGACACGGTTCTTGACACACCGTCCATCCTGCACCATGCACAAGGGGAACCTGAAAGGGAATAAAGAGTCTATTTTCACACTTGCTACACCAGCAGCTACAAATAAAACATTTTGTGTATTAGCTCGACGAGTCCAAAGATAAATGCACATGCTAACTTACCACTAAATACTTTTCTAGTTTCTTTGTGTAGATTGGAAATGGCAATTCTTGCTGCTAGAGTGGCGTACTCTGGATGTTTGGTTGTCATGGTAGCCGCAGTTTCAGCAGCTAGATTATCCAGCTCCACTGTTGTCACTCCCTGGTATAAACCACTGATTACTTTCAGTGTAATGGCCGTCTGAAAAAATAAAATAATTACAATTCGGTACTGACTTGATTTCTGGCCAAGTGGGGACAGGGACTGGATTATCAACCATGAAAATAAGGCCCCCGTCAGAAATAAAACATTAAAAGCACAGATGTCATGAAAAGAGTCTAGATAAAGGCCTTTGAACAGGGACCTTGAGACGGGGGGGGGGGGGGGGCAAAAAGCACTGTTACTACTTGATCGTAAAGTACATGAAAACCAGCAACTGTTCTGAACGTGGGTATCTGGTGGTGTGGGTAGGATTAGAATCGGATTTTGTATGGTACGAATGAGCCTCATTCCGTTCCAAAAGAGCCCTCACCCTTTGGTGCGAATCAGCTTGGTTTCAAAAGTAAAACCCTAAACCCTATTTCCTTTACCATATAATATCCTTATAATTAGTTGGGTTTTATACTAAGCTATTAATCCAAATTAATTTAGATTTAGAATTTAGACTTAGATCTACAGGTTTAATTTTAATCCATAACGTTATGATAAATAAAGAAATTAAGATCTAGATTTTAATACTTACGGGATCAACAAAATCCATATTCAAACCATAACATAGTTTACTAATTCTTGACGTGATTTTATCAAACATAACTTTCTCATTTCGCCCATCTAAAAGGATAAAAACATCGACATTTTTTCAAATTTTTGAAAACAAATTCTGACCCAAATAAACAACTTACAAATTTGAGAATTTTGAAAGAATGAAAACAAAAACGCATGTTTTTAATTAGATGTGGTGATCTACGAATATTAATTCAAAACAAATTTGGGAATATTACCTCGCTTCACGACAAACATTTTGAATTCTTGATGAAATTCTAGCAGAGACGATAATACCGTGTGTTGTCACTAACAAAGATTAAATTTGGCGGGTAGGAGCAGGACGCGATCAACTTTCCCGCGATATTTTTTCTCCGATATCAAGTCATGTGACTGCTTCTTCTAATTTGTCACAGGTTAAGCGAGACTATTGGAGGCGTTGTTTTCTGATGAATATTCACACCGTAGTCCGACTTATACAAGTCGTACAGAAAAAGCTTGGCTTTCTCCTATCTAGAAAAAAACTAACTTTTAGTCGCAGTTGACATTCAGCCAAACAACTATAAACAATACTAGTAATTATAAAAAAAGAACTAGTCCAAAATTTGACACCAGTACATACACCAGATACGTCCGTACCAAATAAAATAAATGTTTCTTGACATTCGACTCAAAGATAAATTCGCGGAAATTTCAAAAGATGGGGGAATTAACACGTGATATTTTGGTAGAGTGACCTTTTGTAGACTATAGTAGGTTTGAACTTTCTATATCACAATATGCGCAGTGTCTGACGGATTTTAAAAACTCGTGATCATGAATTGCTGTCATTGGTGAAGATAAAAATATGTTTACTGCAGGCTCTACTAGTAGTATTAATTTTTAAGGTTAAACCATAGATTGGTAATGTACTATATAGCCTATACTAATACTATAACTGATGTCCATGGTTGAACGCCTGCAGAGGCGGAATTAAGGGGGGCGCGAGGGGCGCCCCCCCCCCCCTAATTTTCGACAGTGCCCTTTTTTACTGCTGAAAGTGCCCTTTTCAGACCCAAATATGTCCGTTCCCAACCCGTTGCAGGGATCCCAAATGACTCAAACCATCGATTCAAACACACCAGTCGAATCTGGTCTAATTAATGCTTCCACTTGCAAACGAATTCATGTTGTTTAGCTGACGGTGCCCTAATCCTATAGAGTGACTATACATCTTGTGGAATCGGCGGCGTATACACTCAATGACTCATGCCCATAACCGACGCGCATGAGTGCAACTTGATGTAGCATTGTTTCATGTGGGGACAGTACAAAGTACAAGTTACAAGGCTTAAATAGTGAAGTGGCTAGGGAATAGATTCGTCTTTTTTCACATCATAATGCCTCGCTCGCCTTGACAATTTTCGAGTCGCATGTTCAACTGGCTTTTTTGCTCGATTTTAAGGCTCTTTTTCAACGATTTCCGAACGTTTACTTAGACGAAAATATCAGCCAAATAGCTCTTGGAATGGCTACAGATGCAAGGAAATGACGGATAATTTTATTGGGGGACCCCCCCCCCCCCCTAAAAATTTTTTTTAAAAAATACCCTCTCAGCGGCGTGCCCCGTCTCCGCGGTCATGCCCTCATTTTGCGGCGCCCCCCCCCCCTTTTCAAAATTCCTAGATCCGCCCCTGGCCTGCTTCCACAGTCTAGAGTGATTTCGCCGACAGCCATAGTGGCAGTTGTAGTAAATAAAGTAGCCCACTATAATCGGTGTCTTATCGAGCGCGCTTCTCATAAGAACGGATAATATTGCAAACAAGACAATTCGTGTTTGAAATTAGTTTATTTTCTGTCTAGTACAGTAGAAGGGAGACTACCCAATTTAACGATCAGGGATCAGGCCACTAATCAGGTTTCAGCCAGGGTGAAATGATAATGATATTATTATTATTATTCATCTTCTATAGCGCTTCATTATATCCGGTGATATTTCTAAGCGCTTAACAAATGTCACACCACAGTTTGTAATAATATTTAAACAAGTGTGTTTTTAACTCCGATTTAAATTTAACAAAAGTTGAACTTGCTCTAATTGATCATGGTAGCTTATTCCACATATGGGCACCATTTATAGGGAAAGATAATTTCCCCCTGAGTCTCTTGTAAGCAGGCACAGAGAGTAAAGTAGTATCGGTGGACGAACGGGTGAGCAGTATCCGAAAATAAAGCTTTACACATTTGATAGCACTTTAAAGTTGATCCGGGCTTTCACAGGCAGCCAATGAAGACTTTTAAGAGTTTCTATTACATGATCTCTAGAAGATGACTTGGCAACTAGTCGAGCACATTTATTTTGTACAACTTGAAGACGGTTGAGGGAGAAATCTGGAATGCCAGCCAGGGGTCCATTTCCACAGTCCAACTGAGTTATGACCAGTGCTAATACAACTCTAGCACAGGAATCTTTAGTAAGATACCTCCTGATTCTGGATATTGGCTTTAATCCCAGGAGTCCATTTCCATAGTCCAACTACTGAGATATGACCAGTGCTAATACAACTCTAGCACATGAATCTTTAGTAAGATACCTCCTGATTCTGGATATTGGCTTTAATCTCATGTACATTTTACACATAGTATTGTTAACCTGTGGGATGAGAGACATTGTCTTGTCCATGATGAAACCAAGATTTCGTGCTTTACATGATTGTGAAATTTCGGTATCGTCGATGTTTAGCTTTGGTGAAAAGTTGAAACTGTTTAGTTTTGATCTTGGTAATGTAACCTGTCAATAGATACATTGTTTTCAATTCGTGTTTCCATAGACCAAGATAGCAATCTGCCTCCATAGTACGTGTAACATATTTTTGGATAGTCAATTATTTAGGAAATTTGTTTTACGACTTAGTCAGGTTTACATGTATGTTATATTATAATTATGTCCATTTAAATTTCGCGCATTGTGAACTATACGGTGTCATGTGACCAATTTATCCAATGAACATTTGTCAGTAGGGAAGCTCAACTAATTAATATTCAGTGGGTCTGAAGAGCTCGAGGGTGGTACGCCATTATATCAACTTCGAAAGTAATTTTACGATCTTATTTTTCTGTTATTTCGAATTTGGTTAAATTGGAGTCTTCTAAATCCCTCTCTGTGTCCTTACTTCCCACTACACGACTCACAGTAGGGGAAGGGGTTTGTTTCCCGAATTCTGCGACGACCTTCCTTGACCTGTGGGTGCCTGATTTGGAGGTGGAAAGGACCGCTGAAAAGATGGGATAAAAGAACGTCTCTGATCTCGGTAGGTGTTCTCTGACTATGGTGTTAATTCGCCACGTCTATAATTTTGAGAGCTGTTTCCTCTTGCGTAGGATGCTTCTTCATACTGCCTACTACCAGGAATTTCCGATGATGGACATTGGTTTATCTTGTGACCGACGCCCCCACACTTGAAACGTCGTATACTGCTGTATTGCAGCATTGAGGGGTCCCCTAGAAAATGTCGGTCTGGTGGCACCACTCCGTTCAAATCTGTCCAGCTGTGCTTGTTGTCTGGTAGGCATTTCCTGTTGGGTTTTCAATAAGGTAACCATTTCGTTCACTCCCTCCATATCAGACGGCTTGGTTGCTACTACAAGATCTTGGTGTACTTCTTCCTGGCTCCAAATACAAGCGGTAGCTCGAAATCGATTACCATCTATACTTATGTTAATACAATACATAGACGATAGATAACTATATGTACGTGTATCTATTGTATGTTAAATGTATGCTTTTCTAGCGACATATTGTAATATATATTTACTGGGAGAAGGTTCATAATTTTTAAAAATAAAATATGTTTAAACAAGCCCTGGTGTAGCAATAGAATCATTAAAAGTTTTGATTACTTGATTATTCGTTCTTTTATAGCATAATGCCCTAATAGACAGTTGTATTATTTTAGTTGCACATGCGTTCAGCTGTTCGGACTAATTTTGGTCTATAATAATTCAATTTTTAATTGACTTAGCAGTTCAGACAACTAGGATGAATTTGAATCCTGTGTGACTTCCAGACAATAGACTGGTTGTTCTTGAATAAGTTAATCGATTCGAAACATATTACAAATTCAGGATGGGAAGTCGCTGATAATTGTAACTGAAACGAAATTGTTTCGAACATCTGATCTCATTCGGATATCCCGTAGCTTCTTGCCGTGACCTCTAGTCCTGGTATATTCTGATGTCTTGAAAATTTCTTCGTTTACTATCTGGTCTTTCCCAGATAACTTTCTGTAGGCTTGGATGAGTAGACCTTAGCACCACAGTCGGGACACATTTCCCTCATAGCTCACTGCAGATGCCCGTCTTCTATTTGTAGACGAATTAGTGCTTTGGTTATTTCTATGCTTAATTGGTTCGGTTTTATTGGCTTATAATAATACCTGTCTAACGGTCAGATCTATTTAAAAAGGCCAAATGCATATTTCCACAATGTCACTAGATATAAACAGGGTTAGGACACGCGATTGTTCCCGATTATCGTGGGTTAGGGTAAGGCGTAGGGCTAGGCCTTGGCTTAGGGTCAGGGTTGGGGTTAGCGCTAGCCCTGTTTACATCTTGTAATTATGCATTTGGCCTTGTCAAATAGACCTAACCCTCTATAGACACCAGACGTGTCAAATTTTAATCTACCGCAAGTCCCTATAAAATCGGCCAATCAGTTAGCTCGACTGTTTTAAATATGATCATCTATATGTCACGTGCGTGTATAAATTTTTTCAGTTTCGATAAGGAAGAATTTATTTACAGGGCCTTTGTTTTATAGGCCTTCATAACTTCAGTTATTATTATCTATAGGTCACGTGCATGTATAAATACTTTTAGTTTCTACAAGGAAGGAACTCTTTACAAAGCCCTTCTTTTATAACTTAAGTTATGTGTGGTTGAAGTGAACCGTGGTCAAATGGTGGAAAGTCTTGCTTTTGCTTATGGTGGGTATGTTACCAAGGCAAGTCTCGTACGTGACCAGGAGTTGGATAGCCCGTCACAGTATAGGGATTGGTTTCGAGGGTTTTCTAGCTTTTACTCTGGGTATTCAACCCGAATACATGACCCTTCTAACCACACGTATACACGCAAATATTTAGCTACAACGGTGACGATATCATTTTTATATCTATTGGGCATTCCTAATAGTTTTATAAGTGAATATTCTTCAAAATGGCGTCCATCCAATGGCGTAAATGTTCGATATGTTCGGAAGAATTTAATCAACCAAAGATACTTCCATGTTTCCACAGTTTTTGTCAGCGCTGCCTAGACAACCTTATCAAAAAAGATGCTCATCTAAATAAATTCAACTGTCCTCGCTGCAGGACGGAGATAGATGTTCCACAAGAGGGTGCTAGCGGTTTTGTGGCGAATTTCTATATTGGAGAGAAACCAATATGTCCAAAGCACGAGGCAATGGGGCTTAAATTTTATTGCCGTGATTGTTCTAAGCCTATTTGTCATGACTGTGTTGTTGTTGACCACGAACTTCACAATAAAGCTGACCTGAAAGAGGTTGGGAAAGAAGCTATGGAAGCATTATCAACTTTAAAACTTCAAATTGAAAGAATGGTGGACAAAACACAAACCCTTTCCAAATCATTGACTCTTCACATACATGATATAACCAAATCTGCCACCAGAGCCTGCTCTGATGTTGATAAACAAGTGGAGAAGATTTGTAGCACAGCAAGGAAGCAGGGCGACGATGTGAAGGTTGAAATCCACAAAATAGAAGAAGAAGAAGTTGATAAAGTCAGGAAGCTGCTGGATGATGTCATGAAATTACAAGAGCAGCTACTGACCAGTGTACAGTGCTCTGATGATGTGCTAAAGACACAAGCAACAATCCCAGCCCTGGATATTCTACCACAGGTCCGAACTATGTCAGAAGACGAAACATTAGAAGATTTAGAATTGCCCGAGATAAGATATCCACATTTTCCACCAGTAGAAATCAATCTGCAAGCATTGAAACAGCAGCTGGGAGAATTAAAAACTATGGATGCCCAAACTTTCACATTAACTTTTGATGTCGGTTTAATTTTGGCGAACGACCCATCTTATAGCGGTAATGATGGTGGCGTGGCTTCCGATCTGATACAAGAGAAAGACTTTCGGATGCAAGGTATGCAATGGCGTGTACGAGTACGGGTTAAACAGAACCAAGATGATCCACAAATGGATATTTTCTTATTTCTGAAGAAAGCAGAAGATGCCACCGTTAAATCGTGCACTGCGAGTTTCAACTTTAAACTATTAAGTACATCTGACGATAGCAAAAGTGTAGTGAAGAAATCACATCATACTTTTGTACCTGATGGCGATGGAAAGGGTTGGGCTAATTTCATAACGGCCTCATTAATACGTACTAATAAGACGGTGGGCAACGACAAGAAAGTTATACTGCAGACAAATGTTGCTATACAGAACATAGAGAGGTATTAAAATGATTTAATATGTTGTGTAATATAGGGGTGGGTGAAAATGACCATATTATTTATTCTGCGTGCTTAGGTTTAATAAATTTAGAGATTTTGACGAGGTTGTCATTTTAGTCAGTAAGGGCGAGGATGTTGCTTGGTTTCGACCAGAATCACAATCGTAAAAAAAAACCAAAAGACCAATACCATTATTCCTAAAGTAATGGTAAAGAGCAGCAACACACCATTAACCACGGCTTTATCAATCTATAAAATCTGTGCATAAAGGACACATTCCTCAGATTTGACATTTGTTTGCTTTTGATAAGTAAAGAAATGACAATAGGGTAATATATTCTATGCAAATGGCTCTCTACATTTATTTATGGTGATGTAATTAAGATTACACATTTCTTGAAGATTTGAAATTTAAAGAAATACATGTATTGATTTTTATCATGAATGGTTCTTTTTCGGAATATAATAATATTGTTGATAGTATATAAAAGGACCTCCATCCTTTATTTTATTTATTTATAATTTGTCTTTCACACTTTGATAATAAATCGATGTTTATTACCTTTTATTGTACAGTGTTCAGATCACATGAGCTTATTTGTCAATAAAATTGTTTGTGGTATGTTATATGGTGCTTTGTTTTGGGATGAATTCTGGGATTTGATGGATTTTTCGCTCTGCCTATTGTATCACCACCGTGGAAACATACACGGACATGTAGAGGGGGTGTATTTGATATGTTTTTATGTGTGTCTAGTGGGAGTGGGTATTACCTATATGTCACGTGAATTTCTATCTTGTAAGGGGAAGGATTTATTTATCGAGCCCTAGTTTCGTACGCGTTTATAACTTGATTATTTTTATTATGTCCTATAGTGTCCTTTGTTGATGGGCAGGCAATGTGGCGTGAAGGTGAAAAGTATTTCTTTTGCTTATGGTGGGTATGTTGACAATGCAAGCCCGACTCAATGAAATAAAGATATTATTCTTCCACAAAGCGTATATTATATCACAGTATAGTGGGTATTCAAACCATTACACAACCTGTCCATACAAGGGAATATTTACATATACAACGGTGACATTATCACTATTTATATATATTGAACATTTTAATGGCCCAATCTCGATTATATTTTCGAGAATAAAACTGCTTACTTTTGTGTGAAAAGCCCTTAAAAACCTTTACCTTAGGGCCGAGCAACTAACTCAATATACGTGGTACGTTTTCAAAAAACTTAAACCCACCAGTCTTCGTCTGGAAATGGAGGCTGATGCCCCAAGCTGTATTATACGGTGTCTGAATAAAACCAGACTTTTGCGTGTAGGTGAAATTTACCGCTCGTTATCAAGTACAGAACATGCACCGCACACTGTTTTGACTTCTAAAGGAACGGTAATAGATTATCAGGTCACCGTACGAAAAAATTGACCCGAAATCTTAAAAGGGTTACGTGTCCGGATAAGCGGTATTGGAGTTCATACCCAAACGACTCAATATTTTGAGCTGAAATTTTCAGGCAAGGTAAATACACAATTCCTCTATGTTTTGGCGCCTAAATTTCATACGTACACGGACTTTTATTTCTGAGACTCTGTTAAAATCGAGATGGTCCCTTTAATAGTTTCAGAAGAGGTTAATCCTTAAAATGGCGTCTATCCAGTGGCACGTATCTGCATAGTGCTCTGAAGGTGTGCTAAATATACAAGCAAACATCCCAGCTCTGGATATACTACCACAGGTCCGAACTCTGACAGAAGACAAATTTCCTGCGATAAGACATTAACTTTTGATGCCAGTTTAATTTTGGCGAGCGACGCGTCTTGCAGCGATCAGGTGGCTTCCGATCTAGTAGGCCAAACTGAGAAGTCCAATAAAGATATTCAGATGCAGGGTTTGCCATGGCGTGTTTGAGTTAATCGCCACATATATATATGTATATATATATCACAAATAAGCATTTTCTTAGATCTGAACAAAAGAGAAGATGCCACCATTAAATCATGTACAGCACTTCCCTAATTTTACATAAAGTACAACTGACGATAACAAAATATGAATGTTGTGTAAGAATCATCCACGTATCGTACGTTTGTATCTAGTGGCGACAACATTTTAGGTACTAATAAGATGGTGGAAATGAAATGAAATAAAATGGGGTTTAACGTCCTACTGTTTTGTACCAAACTGGGCTAATGAAGACGGGCATACGCCATACAGTGTATAAGAGGGAAATTTTGCCCGGACAGCGGCACTAAGGCCATCGAATTCAAACTGTCAAGGGATCTTTTACGTGCACGCCAATGTGTACACGGGGCCTTGGTTTTTCGTCCCATCCGAACGACTAGACAGCTGTCTTTGTCAGGCCCTCCGTCCTGCATCACTGACAAGGGAGAACCACACCGGAAAATCTGGATGAACTTTCTCGGCTAATACAGGGATCGAACACCCGATCTCCAGGCTAGCGATCCAGCGTCTTACCCACTTAGCCACCGTGATCCCCATAAGATGGTGGACAATGACACCTGTTGCTATAAAAAAAACAGAGTGGAATGTTACAGATTTATTAAGTGGAGTGTGGGTGGTTGAGAATGACCATATTGTTCACTCTCTGTGCTCAGATTTCGAGGTGGTTGTGAATTGGCCAGTAACTCACATCTTGTCGTACGTGTTTTGGACACCCACGGGTAGTAGGGTTTGGTAACTTGCAGAGCGGCCGCAAGAAACCGGGTGAAAGTTTTGTTAATAGTACAGACACAGTACTTGTCACGTACAGGCCGCACGTCTGACTTATTTAAACCGTGGGAAAAATTTCTTCGTAATTCCGTGGAAAGCGCAAGTCTGATGTACGTGCTCAGTGGGTCAGTAGTGCTTGTGGGGTACGTGTGACTTAACTTTAACCAATTTCGTGCACCAGAAGTACGACCAGCACTCGTTATGCCCCTGGTTAGCACGTGATACTACTCCCGACGAACGCGAAACGCATGTCAGTAGTGCGTATTAATGATTTGCCTCCGGCATATCAACCAAAGAAATTGAATATTTTCAGTTGGTTTAAAACATGGGACCAAAGAAGAAGGGCTGAAAGAGTAAGTCGACTGCTCCTCCAGAGCGCGTTAGATTACAAGTTCCGTCACGGAGTGAAGTGGCGTGGTTTCGAGTCCCCGCTTGACCGTGACAAGGAGTAGGTCGCCTGTGAAGACTCGTGGGTTTTCTCCGGGTCCTCCGGTTTCTCACTTCAGCTAATGCCCCCTGCGCACTTATGTTAGTCAAGAAATGATCTACTTCGTGTTGAGTCGACACTACACCCCCCCCTCTCTCTCTCTCTCTCTCTCTCTCTCTGTGAACTGAAAGCATTAAAAATGTTTTTAAAGGGAGCCTTCTCTGATTTATCTGGAAAAGAAAACAGTCAAAAATGTAATACTGAAACGTGACTCTTTGTAAGATATATAACTTTTTAATTGCCTAATGTATGCTCTGAAGTTGTCTAATAATAATTGGAGGTTGTTACTACTTATTACATGAATTCTGTCCTGTCAGTGGCCTACTCTTCTCAGAATTACATCTGCCAAGGCATCTTTTAACTAGACACAATTTTGGTTGTTAGTTTAGTTTCCAAAGCACACAAGCATTGCAGACTTAGAAGTCGTTATAAAACGACCTTACGAAGAGAAATAAACACGTCATTAGCCTGGTGATCGAGGTATTTTGCTGCATACGTGTCATGCTTGCCAAAAAAATATGACACCAATGTTTCGTTTCAACTCAAATTCGAGACGCAAATCCAAAAAAGTTGCGCGATTATCATGTTCAGTAAGACGGTGCTCCCGACCAGGACCCGTTGCTGCAGCACTGCAATGTTGAGACCAGGAACGTCAGCTCATCAGGATAAATTAAGCCTGTATACCCACAAAACACGGACTTGTTTAGTAACAAAACGTAACCAATATACCTGTTAGTGGAATTAATAGATTTAGCCAGTATAAAAATACAGAAACCAAAGGAGTACAAACGGTTTCCATAGTAAAGAATATGTTGTCAATAAGGAATTCCAACAAGGAATTGTATTCAGAATTAGAACGGACATTTTATGTAATATCAATAAATAGATTCACCCTGACCTGAAAACTTATATCTAAATAACATTATACAGGAGTTTCTTATAAATGTTTCCTAGTTTGGAAAACCCGCAGTCTCGTCTCGTTTCATAAATCTCTAGACGTTATGAAATGAAATGGAGATGAACGCCCTAACTTTCTTCGCCGACTGGACTATGATGGAGGAATTTTGCTTCGACAGCAGCTCTACAACTAGTCTTATTTCGAATTCCAACTGCCAGGGGTCCTTTACGTGCACGCCAACGTGTACATGGGACTTCAGTCTTTCATCCCATTCAAACGACTACCGTCTTCATTAGCCCAGATTAGGAGCAGAACAGTAGGACGTTAAACTCCATTTCATTTCATTTCATTCGAACGACTAGACGCTGTACCATGCCAGACCCTCCATTCTGCACCACTGACAAGGGGAACCCGCCATGGAAAAAACCCTGAGAACATTTCTAGGCCAACACCGGAATTGAACCCTTTTAAGACTTTTTTTTCTATGCTCACACGTGCAATTCTGATGAGAATTTTGCATGAACAGCGGAGTCTCAGCCTACTCCCCCGGATCTATTCACATGATCTGCAACATACATTTGTTGTTTATTTGTTTATGTCAAGTCCGTAGGTTTGTCTTGTGTAATTGTTTGTGTGTGGTGCTGTCCTCTTGCACACACTGTAAATGAATGGATTCACCCCGACCTGTATCTAAATATTTGACTTTCAGTTTGGTTTGACTCAAAGTAATAGAGTAATCTATTGGTGGAACGTGTGCGCGTGAAATTACAAGGTCTGTTATTGAGTCAAGTGGCGTCATGGTTACAATTCCCGGCTTGTACGTGACAAGGAGTAGGGTCGCCTGTTCGACCTCCTGGGTGTTCTCCGGGTCCTCCGGTTTCCTCCCACTGCCAAAGACCCCTACAAATTATCGAAATAAAATAGAATCATATGGTAGTCCCGAAATGACCTAGTTTATGTCGAGTTGGCGTTACCCCTCTATCTCTCTCTCTCTCTTTCTCCCCCTCTCTCTCTCTCTTACAACATTCTATTACACTTGAGTTTCTCATAAATATTTCCTACTTTGGTTAAACCCACAATCTCGTCCCACTATTCTAGGAATGTTAAAGTTTCCCTGAAAAACTCCAATCGGGGAATGTCTGACATAATATATAAATATACGAGCGTAAAAGTCAAAGTTTTATATGTAATCGATAGTGGGGATGATATATTATTATTGAAGATAATAAATTGGCTTGTTTTATTATTAGCATATATCCAAAGAAGTAGTTTTTTCCATACATATTGTTATAAACGTTACAAGAGCTGCAGTGGTAAAGTGATTATAACGTTGGCTTGGTAACTAGGAAGTCCTAAGTCCGATCCCCGTTGTTGGTCGAGAAAGTTCATTGGGATTTTTCAGCGTGGCCACCCCTTGCCATTGCCAACACCTAGTCGGTTGGACGGAACGAAAAATCAAGGTCCGGCGTACACACTGACGTGCACGTAAAACAGCCCTTGACATT